TAACAATAAAAGAATATAGGATTTAATTGTTTAATTATAAAACATAACTTTTTAGTATTAAAAACTTTTTTTTCTGATCCTTTTGCCAATCCAAAAAACAAATGTTTTCAAAGATTTTTATCTTTATGATAATAAAGTCTATACATTTTTTTTAAAACAATACTGGTTTTTAACTAGCCAAGCAAGCAGAAGCTACCACTTGTTTTATTTTTCTTTTTCAAAACACTTTTATTGTTTATTTTTGTGACCAAGTACAAAAAATCTACCTAAGAGATCTATGGCAAGAACACCTTTATAGAAAAAAAACTGACAAGAAAAAATACACTCCAAAGACTTTTAAAAGAATTAAGAATTTAGAGAAACAAGAACAAAGAAGTTTCCAGTCTTTCCATCATCTCTTTGACTTCCTACTTTTTCTTTTTTAAACGTGTTTCCTTTTTTTTGGTTTTTTAGGAAATTTTGCCTACCTCAATTTGATCCTGAATTTTTTGGTTACACTGGATTTTCTAAAAGATAATTGGTTAAGGTCATGGATTGGTTGATCACATTAGCCACAGAAAATGTAAACAAGACACGTACTCCTTACATGTTCCCAATCACGCAACACTAAACTGATAATGTGATTGGTTTCTGAAAGAGTTGGACGGTTTTTAGTTAAATGAATAATATAAGAGTATTAGGTGAAGTTAAAGTTGTGAGTAGAGAAGAAGCAACACCTTTTTGTTTCCATCTTTTTATTTTCTTTTTTTCCTATTCTTTTTTGAGAACAGAAAGTAGCAATAACATCAGAAAATTTTTGAGCAAAGAAACTCTGTATATCTCCACATATCTCCGCTGTCGTTAAAGATCTCTGGAGTATCAAAAAATATATATATATATTTTGAAAATCTCCAAAAATTTATTTTCTTTGGAGATTTTCGAAGATTTTTGCAAATGTTTGTAATATTTTAATAACTTTCAAAAACCTTCAATAATCTCTGGAGGAATAAATTTTTGGAGATTTTCGAAATTTATATATATATTTTTTGATTCTCTGGAGATTTCTAATGATAGTGGAGATATGCAGAGTTTATCTGCTCAAAAAATTTCCTAATGAAGGTCTAGGTCCTATCCTAATCTGGTAACAAGTTGAAATACTGATATTTATCCCAAAAATGGTTAAAGAAAAGGATCTTAAACTATCCACTAATTGAATAAAGCAATAATTCCAGAAGATATGATTTGGGAGAGAAATCAACAATAGAAAATCAATATTCTTTCTGATTAGAAGTCTTCAAGTATAAAGTCTCAAGAAATATTCTCCTGGAAATGCCTTTAAACATTCTTGAACATTGACTACTTCAATGGAAATTAAACAGTTTTATTGGTTACAGGTAGTGAGAAGTGAGGAATCATAAGAGATTTGGATTTTTGAAGTTTACAAAGATAAACTCTTCAATGATAGTTAGAATAGACAATAACTTTTTTTTTTTTGTTTAAAAAATTCTTTTTTTATTTATTTTTTTTTTTGCATAATTATTACAAGAGGGGAGTGACACAATTTGGATTTATGGTTGTGACTACAGAGGTGATCTGCAGGTTTTTATCCTACTGAAAGTTCAGGATCTTAATCTTATTATTTAGAGGAACAATATATCAATCCCATAAATCGCATCTAGAGGCTTTGGCTAAAGACAGATAAGTTGGGTTAGAGAAATTTATACTTTGTATAGATTCTCAACTTGTAATAGTTCTTTATGATTTAATAAATAAATGACATCAACCTGATTGTGGGATTAAAAAAAAAATAAATAAAAAAATAACCTTTTAATATTTTGTTTTTACTTGTACTAATTAGATTTTAGCCATTTTTTTTATTAATAATAGTATTAATATTTGTAAGTTATAACTTCATTATTGATAATAATAATAATAAAATTTTATAGTTAATAAAATATTTTTATATTTAAGATATAATTAAATTAGATAATTGCAATCTATTTCAGTTACTGGTTATATTGTTTTAATGTTTATTAATTGAAATGATTAGAGTTAATATAAGAAATAAAAAATATATATACAGTATTTTAATTTAATAGATCATTGCATTGTTTTAATATATACAAAATATAATTGATAATTTATGTATTGTAAATTTTTGATAAAAGTAAGTTGGTTTATAATTTTAGATATAGAATTGATAAGAACTAATAACCAGTTAAAGAATATAAAAATTTTTTACTAGTTAGTATCAATAGAAAACAAAAATTTTTAAAAAATAAAATATTATCTTTTGACATAAGTGTAGTTATTCAAGAAAAAAATATTATATATAAATTATATTTGTTTAATATAAAGAAAAGACATAAATATAAAATAATATTCTTTATCCATTTTTACTATTTCAAGTTATTAATTAATATCTTTGCAGATACTGGATCTTTTTGAGTAAAAATTATTAAAATTCCAAGGATCATTGCTAAAACATCAAGAATTATTGCTAAAATTACTATTGTATAATAGCAATTCTTTGGACTATATTTTCTTTATAAAGAACTTTTTATAGAAAAATTTTTTTTTTTTATCAAAAAAATTATTTCTTGTTCTCTCGGTTAATAAACGCGTTATAACAGAACCACGATAATTCTCATGATTCTTGTTGATCAGCGAGTCAAGATCTGCTGATTTCATTATAAGCCATTGTTGAACGATATACTGTACTGTATTAAGATCTTATTAAGTACTGTACCATATCACCTTCTTAATTACAGTACTGGTTTCTCAATTTGTACCACAACAGGTTCTTATCATACATTGAGAATGATCTGATCTAAAGAGTACAAAAATATGTACATCTTGGATGATTAATACGATCAAATATAAAAACTTCAAAACTCATCGATAAAAACGGAAAGCTACATCCGAAAGATACAATGTGTCAAGCGTTGAATTTAAAGGTGGTCAATCAATATTCACTATATACAGTACATGTATTTGTGAAACACACTCGAAACTTTACGGAAACAGAGTAAAAAGTATGGATAGCTAATTAAACCAGTAAAGTTAATGCGAAGTTTTAAAATAGAAAGCCATATTGTGATAATGCAATTTATTTAAATTACCCAGGCAACTTTTTGCTGCCAAATTTGGATTATTAATATAAATTAATATACGATTCTGTAGTACAGTATTTAGAAATCAATAAAAATAATATCTAGTTGACGATCGTGTAGTTGAATTTGATATTACAATCAAGAAATTGTATAAAGGAAAAGACCATTCGAGAAAGAGGGAATGAGATAGAACTGTAGACTCAAGAGTGAGATGATCAATATATAGTAAGGTATAAATAATCTTTTATTAAAACTTTATATATTACATCGAAGCAAATAAAAGAATTTAAAAATATACAATATGTAAAAAAAAACAAAGAAAAATCATTTTCGAAATTCGAATTAATAATAATTGAAAAAAGAAGCAATAAAAATTATAATAAAAATTTTATTGTTTTTATATTGTCAAGAAAAAAATCAACCTTTTTACAATTCTTAAATATTTTAATCGTTACAATATATAATAAAAATAGTTATGATTATAAAATGAAACAATATTTATTTTTTATATTTAATAATCTTAATAATTAAAAAAAAAGAAAATTAACCAATAATGTTTATGTACAACAATACGTGAAACTATGTTGTTTATATACATTATTTTATTTCAAAATATTGTACACGGAATTTATGAAAAAAAAAAATTTGCGTAAGATTGATTTATTAATTGTTCTATTTTAAAACAGAAAAAAAACTAAAATAGCAAAATTTAATTATGAACTAAATTTAAAAATATTTTAAAAAGTTTCAAGTCTTGCATACCGTAGATGCGTATATACCGTGTGTTTTTTCATTGTCCAAAGCAAAGCGTAGGACTTAAAGGGAGATGACGAGCAGACATTTTCACATTTTTAATTACTATATAAAAAATAAAAAGTTTTAAATTATTTGAATAAATTCGCAATAAAAATGTGCATATTAATAAAATATGGTATAAAAATAAGATTTTTTTTAAAAAATTTTAAATTAAAACAATAAACATATACGGTATATTATATAATTTAAAAAAAAAAAATTAAAAAAAATTAAAATTTAGTTTAAGATAATCGCTTCGGACCCTTACGGTTCCCGTCTTCTAGTTAAACAAAAAATTTTTTTTTACATAACACAACACCGTATATTTGATTGATTTCGTTACATAAGATTTAATTGTCATACATGATTCATAAAAGGATTCTTTTTTTATAATTTTATCTGGTCGTTGTTTTATAATTTTATTTGGTCGTTATTTTATTTATTTGGTTTGTTTAAAAATATATTTTTAATGTTATTAATATACGTATAATGAATGCAATAACGTTTGTTCGCAGAAATAATAATTCAAGATAATAAAATTATTTAAAACATCAATCATGAAGTAAAACTATTTTCAAGGATTTTTTTGTTTCGTTTTATCGGATTCTTAAATGCGAGGATTATTAACCAAATATGGTATTTTAACAATAGGCATGATTCTCATTTTGAAAAAATTTTCGAGTTCCTGTGACATGTGTGTGCCATAGAAGTCTATTTGTTTGTGGAATTTTCGATCTTCTTCCAAAACTGCTGCATTTACCGTCGATTACTAGTCAGGCCATTAGCAGTAATCAGTAGTATGCCGTATGATACTATCAGTTGCCTCAAGCAGTTTGGCTGCTCACGGAAAAAGCTCTAGTCCTAGTTCATACTCGAATTTTGATAATTAGCAAATTATTTTAATTCGGAATTATCTTGGCATACACTGTAACCATTAATGTCACGCAAAATGTTACGTAACGCACAATCCATTCATATAAATATACAAATGAAGGGTCTCCTATACGGGTTTTAGGTCGGAGTTTACATGTCCAAAATCCATATCATTGGGATTAATGCTTTATATTCCTATCAGATAAAAAATTTCGCTTCGTAAGAAAATTGATAACAAGAATGTCTAATTACGGGAATTATTCTGAGCAATACAGAAATCCGTATCCACTGGCACCGGGCACGTATGAACAACCGATTCCGCATCCTCCACAGAACTCGTATCCGCCACCCAACCCATCAGGGCCCTCGACGTTTCTTGACATAGAGCCTGAGACTGTAATTGACGAGAAAAAATTTCACTATGGCCAACCTCCCGCATATCAACCACGTCGTTATAAGACTAAAAAGCGTGTAAAACTCCATAGAGGAAACTATGTGACAGAATGTCCCGTGCCCACGAATTTCAGGCAATCGATTCCTAGAAAAGATGAGAAAGAATTTGCGTATATGAGATATACTGCTTGTACATGTAAACCTGATGAATTCGAGAAAAAAGGTTATACACTTCGTCAAAGCGAATTCGACCCACCAAGATCAACAGAATTGTTTATAGTGTTAACTATGTTTAATGTGAGCACTGTTAAATAGTTACAAGTTTTGAGTGAAAATGCGAGACTCTTTTATATGCTAACTGTGTTGGTCGGTACCTTATAGGAAAACGAGTTGGATTTTGCTCGCACCTTCCACGGCGTCGTGAAAAATATCACTCACCTTTGCTCTCGTGATCGCTCTCGAGTTTGGGGTAAAGATGGATGGAAAAAGGTTGTAGTGTGTATTGTATCTGATGGTCGAGAATTTATCGATCGACGTACATTGGCTTACTTGGCAGCTATCGGCGTTTACCAAGACGGGGTTGCAAAAAGTAATTATGAAGTTATGAGGAGTGACGGTACGGTAGAGAATAGGAAGGTTACAGCTCATATATATGAGTATACAACTCAAGTTTCAATTAACTCGAATATGGAATTTGAAAAAGAAAACATCGTTCCTATTCAAGTTCTCTTTTGTCTAAAAGAAGAGAATGCTAAAAAGATTAACTCGCATCGTTGGTTTTTCAATGCCTTTGGAAAGATCCTAAAACCTAACGTATGCGTTCTTCTTGATGTCGGCACCAAGCCTGGTAGCATGTCAATATATCATTTATGGAAAGCTTTTGACATTAATTCCAATATAGCCGGTGCTTGTGGTGAAATTATCGCAATGAAGGGTACTGCTGGTGTTAATCTTCTCAACCCGATAGTGGCTGCTCAAAACTTTGAGTACAAGATGTCCAATATTTTAGATAAACCCCTTGAATCTGTTATGGGATATATTACCGTTTTACCCGGGGCCTTTTCTGCCTACCGTTACACTGCCTTACAAAATAATGATGATGGCAAAGGTCCGTTAAACTCTTATTTCCTGTGCGAGGTAGAGGAAGACGAGGAAGGTGACGAAGAGAATAGTGAAAAAAGTGAAAAAAAAAAAGTGGACAAGGATGATCTGTTTACCGCAAATATGTACCTCGCGGAAGATCGTATTCTATGCTTTGAACTGGTGACCAAGAGAAACAATGCTTTCGTATTGCATTATGTCAAATCTGCCTATGCAGAAACTGATGTACCAGATGATGTAGCAGGATTGATAAAACAAAGACGACGCTGGTTAAATGGTTCTTATTTTGCCAGTTTATACGCATTACGGCATTCTCTTGCTATTTGGCGAAGTGGTCATAGTCCGATTCGAAAATTTGTCTTATTTGTGGAAATGCTCTATCAACTATACAACCTACTTTTCACATGGTTTGGTCTGGTATGTAATAGTTTTGAGATTATCTTGGTTTTTTATTCGACTTTTATTGTTTCTTATTTGCTTACTCTTTTGTGCTATAGGCCAATTTTTATTTGACCTTTTACATCCTGGGTGTTTCTCTCACTAGTTTAGGAGTATCCCCAGATGCTCTGCTCCAGGTCTTATCTATTATATATATAATACTGATTATCGTTCAGGTAATTCTGGCCATGGGAAATAAACCCCAAAGGTAGGAATATGAATATAATTATGACACTTATACAATGTCACATATTCATAATTTGTCTATTTACAGTTCCAAATGGGCCTATATAATTTCTATAATATTCTTTGCGCTTATCATGCTTTACATGTTATTTGCGGCCGGTTGGATCACATACAAGGGTGTCGCTTTGCAACTGGATAGTCACAAGGACCAAATTACTGGTGCCAATGTGTCGACTGCGAACGCCTTATTGGGAGATCAATATTTCCGAAACATCGTCCTCTCTGTGATTTGTACATATGGATTATATTTCGTTTCAAGTTTTCTATTTTTAGAGCCATGGCACATGTTTACCAGCATGATTCAATATTTGTTTTTGATTCCATTTTACGTCAACGTCCTGACCATTTACGCTTTCTGTAACGTGCATGATGTCACGTAAGTAACACATCTTTTTTTTTTTCGAGTCTCACCGAGTTCGACTATAATTTCTTACATGCATTATATATAGTTGGGGTACGAGAGAGGCCAAGTCAGCTCTGGGATCTGGAAAAGTTGTCCAAGAGGACAATTCTTCCAGTTTAGAAGTGGAAGTTGAAGCACCCGTTGAAGAAACAGATATTAATGAAACATTCGACGAAGCCGTTAATGTATTGAAACATCCAAGAATCAAGTACCCAACCTTCCGTTCGTCCAAAGAAAAGAAGGAAGATAAAGTTCGAGCATTCCGTACGCGTTTTGTGCTTGCCTGGCTTATTACCAATGTCGCGTTTGTCTTTGGTATTCAAAGATTACCTCAAGAGACGATAAATAATACATATGTGGCTTTCATCTTGTGGTCTGTAGCCGGGTTAGCTGCATTTAGATTCTTTGGTAGTTGCATATTTTTGTTATTTAGATTGTTCACCGGCAATTAGAGTAATTTCTCTAGATGTTGATTGTACTTTAGTTATTCTAAAAATTCATGACATAAGGGTACAGTAATTGGTGATTACCCATCACGTGTAATTTTATTTAAAACTTGCAATATATTTTTTTCCTAAAGTAATGATTTCTTTTTATTTGCTCTAAAGTAAAATAAAGTAAAATAAAAAATCACATTAAACTGTCCATATTTATTATTTACTCCTTATTAGATAATTGGAAATTTAATTTGTTCAAGTATTCACAGCTTTATAAATATTCGAGTTCGAAATTCGTATACAAATGCAGAGTGATTGAAGCAAGAATTCTAAACTTGATTGTTATCGTGCAATAAGTTTTTGTGTCGGAAGGAGTCGTATCTTTGAAAGATCCCTAACCTTCGTGTTTTTTTCGGTATTGGTTCCCCATTTTCAGCAGCCTACGCGTGAAAAGATTTAAATTTTTAAATAAACACACGTAGTAATAACATCAATATTATATGTGATTCGTAAATCTCACCAAAGCGCGTTTGACGGACCAAAAGAATCCAATCATCCTGGATCTCACAGCTCTAGACCTAATACCCAAAACTTCCAAATCCTCCCAGTTCATCCCTATAATCTCTTTCCAATTTCGACCTTCAAAATGTGGAGCGAAATATCCGAAACCATCGTATATTCCATTAAGCATAGTAGGAAGATCTGGATTTTTATCGAAACAGGTTACGCAAGTTAAAAATAATGTCGAGTGAAAAAGGAAGAAAAAACTTTTCACCTTCTAGCGAGACAAAGTCGACTTTATCATTATGCTCAGGAATTGGATGCGCACTGTCACGAGCTTGCTCTTCTAACTCAATACCTTGTTCATTGGCCTGAAATTAACACATGTAATTAGTTTTCTAATAATAATTTCCATGAATTCGGGTGAATAAGTAAAAAAAGTTGTTTCAATGCATATACCAAAAAACGTTTAAGTATCCAAAAGTTTCTAATAAGTCTTTTTCTATGAGGAGGACGCATGATCCCAAGATCCTGCAATTGTTCCCAGCTGGTCAATTCTATAATTTCTTCCCAGTTTTTGCCTTCGAAATACGGGGCCAACCCTTTTAGACCCATTCCATCGAGCCAAGAAGGAATATCTGGGTATGTTTGTTACAAATCACGTAGAGAATGTTCGGAAAACAAGTTAAAGCATTAAAGGCATCAATAATTTACAAATCCAACGTTACCGTTCAATAATTCTTTGTTGTAATTGGCAATATAATTATCCCTATAGTAGCTTTTCATTTGGTCTACCATTTGATCTCTCATGCCTCGATGCAATGTAGGTACAACCATTCCAGGTTCAGTGATCAATCCACGACTACAATAGATCACACCAAGTCTGGAGGCGTTTGATAAGAGGTTCGAAGACGCGTTGTTGATTAAGAACGGTGAGGTTCTCACATGTTTTCTGAGAGAATTGCTACTCGAATACGTTCGCGATCGGTTGAAAAGAGTTTTGGGAAGAGTATTGGTACATTGTTGCGTTAGATTTTTTAAAATGGTATTAGAACCGCCAATATTAGTTTCCGAAAGAAATTTCGTTCTAAGCGCGAAACGAGTTAATGCCATTTTTTTTTACTGCACTCAAATTATTTACTGTAAACGAAAGTTCACGAAGAAATAAATAAATTTGCACGATCAAAGTAATATCAAGGTTACCAAGGTTTTAAAATCTTGTTTACCTTTGATGTGAGAGAAAAAAAAATTTTTTAAGATTGAAAGTTATGCATGGTAGATCATTTCAAAATTTTGGAGCATCGTCTTATGTACACTGTGCATAGCGTATGTATGCGTTTTTTTAATTTTTTTTCGTTTCTCTTACTGTTATTATTACCATATCCGAGTCCACTGGACAGAATACGCATACGTATACGATAATCCTTGTCACACCTTTGCGTAAATAAAATATAAAATCAAAAAATAAAGTGATCTTGTTGCAAATTGCTCTCATGAAAAGAATCATTTTAAAATCCTTTGTTTTGAAAAATACTGCTGGTCTCGTTAATAAGTACCATCACACTACGTATTGTTGTGAATATTCAATAATCCGCAATATTCATTCCACCAATCCGTTCTCGAGCGATACTTCCTGGACATCCCCCAAGCCTCCTGTACCCTCTATTACAAATTCCAAAGTTCTTTCTGAGCCCGCTAAAGCCGCAGCGAAGAATGAGGATCGACACAGGCCTCGAGTTAAGATAGAGGATATTATAAAATTCGAGAAGCAAAAACGTAAGGAGAGAAAGCGAGAATATCGAAGAGAGTTTTACAAAAAGAATTATAAAGATCGAGTCAACCTTGAATTACTTGAAGGTATGATGAGATATAGCATCTTGTTTATTTTGTAATCTTCAGCTCGACGCATTATATTTTATGATTAAGACTTTCCCAGGTGGCTACACGGAATTAGAAGGGGATTCAAAAGATACGCGAAGTTATTTGAAGGTCAAAGGTGGCAGGACGTAATAGAATACACGTGGGAGGATTTGTGTAGACTGGGTATGAAAAATGGAATCGACCGAGGTCATTTGGTTAAGCATTTTTGGATGGTCAAAAAAGCATTGGTACGCAAACACGTTTTGCTCTTTCTCTTTCTTTATTACAATTTTACTAATCGAGTATAATATGAGCAGAATGAACAAAAGGCAAACAATGCATCTAGGGAAGAGGAAAAACGTGAAAGTGTAAAGAATGAACCTCTTCAAGGAGAGTAAAAAAGTAAACATCTTGAACGAGCCTTTTCAAGAAATGTTTTTTTGAAATTTAATGCCACAAATGAGTTAAATGAAACTTAAAAGCTCTCATCTGTTATTAAGCATTTGTTATAAGTCACCGGAAACGTAATTGTGTAAAACCTTCGCGTATCACTACATTAAACTTAGGGTGTAGTTATTTACGTGTAAAGCGTTGATTAAAACTTTTTAATCTTTACATTCCCTTTTTATTGCTCTCTCGCCAAATAATATCGTTTAAAATAGCTTGTTTCGATATTTAACTTTCGTGCCATATTCCTACATGCTATATTTCCCGATGAACTCGTATAATATTACCTTAGTCGCAAACTAAATAAAACAAGGTCGTTCGAGAGATACGAACAGACGGTTGTGAAAAAAAGGGTTTATTTACGAGATAGTGTTTGAGTGTGTCTGATGTCTCTGTGAAAGATTATTTTACAGTTTAACGCAAAGGTATGCAGTAATATCTATTTCTTTAAATATTTTAGCATAAATTTCATTTATTTATTTATTTATTATTGTTGTTGTGTTATCGTCACCGAAATATATAACTTAAGATTACTTAAAGTATTATTATTATTTTTTATTATTTTTATAATTAAATTTTCAAAATTGAAAATTTTTATACTGTACTATATACTGTGTTAATCTAAAAAAATATTTTAAAAAATATTTTTATTTATTACATAATGAAAAGTTGCTTGTTTTATATAAAATTTTATGAATTGCTTATTTATAATCTAAAAAAAAAACTTTACTTTAGCTTACATTATAAAATTTTTAATAAAGTTTTTTTTTGATTTTTTAATACAAAAATTTAAATATTTTTAATGAAATATATATTATTTTATTCTTAAATTTTAAATATATTTAAATAAAATTTTATAAAAATTTAAAAATTTTTATTATTTATAAAAACAAAATATAAATTAAAAAATTTTCAAAAAATCATAAATTTCCTTACATACAGTATACAGTATATTTGTTAATTTAATAATATAATTGTTTGGAATTGTTTTATTTTATAAAATCATAAATATAATAATAGTAAATTACAATATTTAATAAAATCTGCATATCTAATATTTGTTGAAATAAAAGTTATTTACAATTTTTATTTTGATAAAAATAATTTAATAATCAAATATTAATTTTAATAAAAAAATAATATAATGTATAAACATATTATATTATACTTTTTTAAAAAGATAAAATATTTAAATAATATCAATATTTTTATAAATTATATATTTTTAATTATATATCATTAAATAATATGTATTATTTTCATATAATTTTTATAACTAATTTAATTAATTTATCTATCTATTGTATATTTATATTATATATATAATTTATTGTAAAGCATTTTAAAAGTTTAATAAATTATAAAATTAAAATACAGTCAAACCTGGATATAACAAAGCCTTTGGGCTAATTAGTAAAAATCAAAAAAAATTGTTTAAAAATTCATTATAAATAATTTTTAAAAATTTATATAATAAAATTTTCTTTTTATAATGAATTTTGGATAAATTCAAAATTCAAAAATTCGTTATAACCAGCATTTTATTATAGCTTCGTTATAAACAGGTTCGTTGTATTCAGACTTGACTGTATATTGTTATATTTAATCTATTAAATATATTTTAAGTTTATTAACATTTAAATGCTAAATTTATAAAATTATAATATATATTTATTATGGTTTGTTAAATAAAATTTTATTTATAATCAATTTTTAATAATATTAAAAAATATATTCAATTTCAAAATTTAATTACAAATAATTTTATAAATATTATTATATAAAATATAAAAATCATAATAATCAAATTCGAAGCTTTGTTTTAATAAATTTTTTTATTTGTTTTATAAAACAACTTTTAATTACCAACAGATAAAAAGAATTTAAAAATTTTTACAATCCACTATATACTGTATATATAATAATATATTTTTTTTAAATGTAAAAAATTTTTTAGAATGCCTTTTTTTATTAAAATTAATGTCTGTATATAGTTTAAATATATTTTTTATATAAAATCAATATAATTTATTATCTCATTTATTAAAAGTAATAAATAATATTAAATATTACTAGACGCGTCTTATCTGTCCGCACACGTGATTTATTTTACGATGTGGCGTTATTAGCTTTGGGCTAGTTTTGAGTCTAATAAGTATCATATCAAATTACTAAATATAAGGTATTTCTAGATGCATGATATTTGATAATTACAAAATTCAAAAACTTAAATCGGTACTTCGGCGAGTATTGCTGCACTTATTAAGTAGTCATGCCAATGGCGTATTAATACCTTCATTTAAATCCATGTAAGGTTAGGTTCAATAGTATTGCATTAATTTTATTGTAGTCTTCTATCAATTATGTTATACATTCTAACAAAAAAAGAAAAGAATAATTGAAAACTCGGACGATTTTTTGAGTCTGGAATATGGATAGGATTTTTTTCTAAAATTTTCAATGAGAAAAGAAAACACTCCTAGCGAAAGTATAGATGATAAAATATTCTCTAAATCTAAATGTTTTTTATGATATCGCGATGATAGTTGTTGATGCCTATAAATTTTTGATTTACTATCACAGTAATGTAAATATCAAATAATATATTAAGATGAGAAACACGTATTATTTACCTTAACTAGAATTTTCGATGTAAGGAATAAATTCGCTTTTGTAAACCGTGTTAGGAGATGCTTGTGAATTTGTTGTATCTTTTGGATTTTTCAATCTATCAAATTTATTTAAATCCGATAGAATTTCTTTATCTTTTAGCCATCCGGCAAAAATTTCACAAATCTCGCCAGCTGTCGGACGATTTTCCGGCTCCTCATCCCAACATCTTTCCATGAGATCTTTATAACATTCTGGTGTATCTTTACTAATATCGGGTCGTAAACCATCGCACACTTGCATCTGAAATAGCGTTCTAGCCTCGTAATTAAAAGGAATTGCTCTTCCCAAAAGAATTTCCCACATAATTATTCCAAACGAGTAAATATTCGATTCCGCGACACACGAATCTCCACACAAGACTTCCGGTGCCACATAGGGCAAGATTCCATAAACTCCGCTAGACTCCGTGTTAGTCGCTATCAAAAGACTTAAATCCGCGATGTATGCACTATATATGTTACTTTGTAATATGTTACCGCTATGCAGATCTTGGTGAACAAGATTCTTTGAATGAATAATCTGGAGACCGGAGGCAATGCAAACTAGCAAATTCAATTTCTTTTCCCAATCCAGTTTGACCACCGAATGAAGATTTTTACGCAGGCTGCCCATCGAAGCATAATTCATGATAATAATAAAATCTTTAGAAGCCTCGTCTCTTGAGATGCCATGATACTGTAGAAACATGGGATTCTTATATCCAACGTCAAGGTATGCCTTTAACTTTACATATAAACAGCCGGTTAAAAATGCATAATGTGAAGATCATCATGCTACCAAAAAAAATTACCTCTTTCACAAATTCTTCCTGGTAATCATTTGATTTATGAAGTAATTTAAGCGCGAAAACTTTACTGTGTTTTGGGTGCATAGCACTAAACACAGTTGAGGATCCGCCTTGTCCTATCTTGTTAACATTTTCGAATTCTCTATAAGGAATCCAGAGCAGACCATTTTTTTTTTCAAATAATAACTCTTTTAATTCATCACTCATGTCCAAATCCCAATCTTTTACAGCTAAAGTATTGATTAATCGTTAGACACTTTAAGAATAACCAAATAGGGTTGCACAGTAAGGATAATTACCTGATTGCTGATCTCTAGCCCTGGTCAATGAAATGTTTAAATGTTAAAGAACAATAACTTTGTAACGGGTCAAATTGAATATACACCTCTTACATTTTTTCCCAGTGAGTGGCCATTTTCGGATCTTTTGCAACGCCAGTTCCATTTTGATAAAATTCGGCAAGAGTGCACATTCCTTCGATACTCCCCATCTCTGCAGCTTTTTGATAATACTCAAATGCCTTATGTTCATCCTTTTCCACTTCTATTCCATTTTGTAAGAAGTAGCCGACGCTGTACGCTCCTTTTGCATGACCCATATCGGCAGCTTTTTTATAATATTCAAATGCCTTGTGCATATCCTTTTCAGTTGCAATTTTATATTGATGACAATAGCCGACATAGTATATCCCATCGATGTTCTTCATCTTAGCTGATTCCTGATAATATTCTAATGCCTTATATTTACTTTTTTTAACTCCAATTCCATTCAGATAACAGTGACCGAGTTGAAGCATTCCACTAGAATCTCCCATCTCGGCAATTTCTTGATAACATTCGAACGCATTCCTTTCATCCTTCTTAACCCCCATTCCATTTCGATAACAATATGCAGTTTGGAACAATCCATTGGAATGTCCCATCGTCGATGATTTTTGATAGTATTTCAACGCATTATGTTCGTCTCTTTCAACTCCAATTCCATTGTGGTAACAATAACCAACTTGAAACACTCCGTTAGGATCACCAGCTTCGGCAGACTTTTGAAAATATTCGAATGCCTTATGTTCATCCTTTTCCACTCCAATTCCATTTCGATAGCTGTAGCCTATATTATATATTCCCTTTGAATTACCCATCTCGACGGACTCTTGATAATAATCGAATGCCTTACTCTCATCCTTTTCAACGCCAATCCCATTTTGATAGCAATATCCAAGTTGAAATACTCCATTATAATCTCCCAACTCGGCTGCTTTTTGATAGTATTCGAACGCCTTGCGTTCATCCCTTTTAACCCCATATCCCTCATTATAAGAAAGGCCAACCTGAAACAATCCATTGGAATACTCCATCTCGGCAGACTTTAGATAATACTCAAATGCCTTTTTATTATCCCTTTTAACCCCAATCCCTTCGCTATAACAATAGCCAACCTGAAATACTCCGTTGGGATATCCCGATTCCGCCGATTTTTCATAATATTTAAATG